TGTGATTTCATAAATGGAAGCATTTGACTACAGGTGGGGATTAATTTGCAAAGGCAGGAAAACTGTTGAAAACAAAGAGCTAGTGTCCAAGTAAATATCTCTTGAGAAATTAGGAAGTACAAGCTACATTGCATGAGAAGAATTGTTACTGAGTGTAATGGTTTAAAGAATTCCAGGTGGTCTGCGTGGGTCATAATGCTAGCATTTTATCTTGGAATAATCTTTCTTCTTTTCTTTTTTTTTTTAAAGAACTAGTGCTTCCCCTGCAAAGTGCCAGAAAGTTTGTTCATATAGGCTTATTAAGTCTGTAGCTACATAATACAAAATAAAATGTGAAGGAATAATCTGTTAGGAAAGTGTTTCTTTTATACTAAGTATAGAGATTTAAAAAAGGCAAGATAATTTTTGAGGTGCTGAAGGGTAAAGGAGGCTTGCATAATCTGGATCAATACCTAATTTACCACTTCACTTTCCTCATGGGAGTACAGCTCTAGTCTCCACAGGTTGAAACATCAAGGATTTTCTAATTTTTTTTTGTTGCTGTTGGAGGAGACAGATAGAGATTAAAGTCTTTTTTTTTTTTTTGGTAGATAAGGAAATCTATGCTGGAAAATCATGAACAGAAGAGAAGGTAGGGGTGGATGGTAAGGAATGATGAAACAGAAACAATTGGCTTGGACCTCATGAGCTGCCATCTTTTTCTCACTGCTAAGGTGAGAAATAATTCACTTTACAATAGAATGTAGCAATTTCTGCTAAAATAGCCTGTTCCTTTCTTTAAGACAAATGAGCAAGTTTTACTCATCTTTTCATAGCCGATTATTTCACACTCTACATTAATCCTCCATTCTTCCCATTGCCTTGAGAGAAAACTCCTTGGCATGGCTTCTTCTACAATATAGTCCCAACTTATCTCTGCTGTATCTCATGTCACATACCTCCAGTCACACCATACAGTGACATTTTCCCCAAGCATGATGCAGTTTTACGCCTCTTTATTCTTATGATCTTTTCTCTACCTGGAATGCTTTATTTCCTTCTTCCTCACCAAATGCATCCTGTTCATTTTTCGAGACCCACCTCAAATGTCTTACCCTCTTTGAAGCCATTTTCAACTTCCTTAGTAAGAGTCATGGCTTCCCCTATTTGTGTAACACTTATCATTAAATCCCACCCCAGAAGCAATACGTTGTATCTCCATCCTAATAACTAACATCATTGGCACAGGTAAGACTTAAATAAATGAGTATATGAAAAAATTTCAAAGAATGAGCAAATAGACAGTTTTTTGCACAGTGTTCAGTTTCTCTTCTCTTTTCACATGCATAAATGATGCACTGACCTCATCAGTGGAATTGTTCTAGTTTATTTCCAGAAGGATTTTGCTGCTTCAGGGACTCAGTGCCATCAAAGAAGCCTTGATATGCTTGTGCCTTTTTGAGTTGGATAGGGAAAGTGAAATAAAAGATCAACTACAGAAACAGACCACTGATGGCTGGATAACGGGCATTGGCTTGATACTAATAAAAGCAGGAAAAAGTGGCAAGGCAATGGAACTGTCAGGGAACAAGGTAGTCATGAGCCTATTTACTGACTTGGTCCTTAGTCAAAAACTTTGTAAAATTATTTTAGCAGTAATCTCCCAGTTATTAGTACCAGGACTACAGCTAAAACAATTTCACTTAATAGCAGTTAGATATTGTAACTCCAACCACCTGGAACTGTAATTCTCCCATTATCTTCCTTCAATATTTCCACTGTCACAACTCTCAAAAATAACAACAAAAAAAATCTCTTTTTATAGTGGAATTACTAAAATTGATGTATCAGGTTATATTCATGAATCAGCAACAAATAAATTTTTAAGAAATAATTTCTGTTCTCAACTTAATGGTTTGTTTAAATAACTGACATCTACTTTTGTTGTCATGGGTGTTAGTACATTGAAACCATGTTTGTTTAGCCTAGTAAATAAATTGAACAATCGTGGTTTGTATTTGTTTGTTTCCAAGGATAAAGAAACAAATACAGTAAGTTTGGAGCATACTAGACCCACAGTCGATGGAGTGGCCAAATGCAAAAAAAATCTCCTTCCTTCTTTTATTTATCTCTGTATTCTCGCTGAAACAATAGATGAATTTAAGGTAAATCACATGACTTAGTAAAGCCCTCTAGACCTTTAAAGGCACCTTACAGATCCATGATCTAACTATTGGCTTGGCTCTTTCAGATCACTGCCACCTCTCACATGGGTTTAAATAGAAAAAAAAAAAAAAGAGCAAAAAATGCCTGAGACAACTGTGAAATATTTTGCAAGATTTTAATATTACTAAAGCAAACTTTCATTCCCTTTGTTTAGCAGACAGCTGTAGCTGACACAAATGTATGTTGCTAGCTGTGAGCCCGCCCTGAGCATGAGATTTTATAGAAGGGTTTATTTATGGCTAATTTCTTTATCTTTATATTGAATATAATACTTTCTAGTATCTTTCAGCTTGTAATTATTTTGCTTCACATCAAAGAACAACATTAGAAATTAAAGTCCATTCACTGTCATGTATGATTCATGGCCTATGTTATATAGATCTTATAAAAGAGGCTCATTTTTCTTTCTTTCCCAGACCTCCTCCCTCTTCCTTCTCTTCCCTGTAGCCTAACACCCGCACTTGACATTGCTCAGTTCTTTGGGTATTAGTAATATATACTAATATCTATCAGCCATATATAAATGTCAAGGAAGAAAACTTTTTCCTGCTCGCTAGCCTGATCCATAATCTAAGGAAACCATAGTGTCTTTGGCCTCAGAATAATCTTTTACTATGAGATTGTTTATGTTGACTTCCTGAAGCCCTTGCTTGGTACCAAGATGTTTCACTTTCTTCTCCTTAGTGTGGAATCCTATAGTACTGTGGAACTTATAAATAATTGAGTTATTTTTAAACCACTGGATGTTTTCCAGTCACTCTATTTCACACTGGATTAATTATGTAAGAAAACCGAATTGTTCCTCACCAGTGTTACAACTTTAAAAACAACATGCTGTTTAAATTCAGGTTTGGCAACTGTGGCCTGAGAGCCCCCTCAAATTTATGGCACCACACCCACAGCATAATAAAACCTTTAGTGGTCCTTTGTCTTTTAGCTTTCCTTCTATTTTTTCTCAAGGGTGTTTTATGCTGGAAGATGCAAACAAAAGTTGTCCAGATGTTATTTGTATCAGAGCAGGATTTCAGTCCAGCTATCTGTGGTTGCAAATGTTTATTTTAATGGGTTATTGTGCAATCCTTGCTGTGTAGACCTTCAAGGCCTTATATGCATGTTCTCAGCAATGCCAGGATATTGTTTTTTAAAATATATCATTTTAGTCCAATTGAATGATTAGTAGTCACTAGGGGAGAAAAATATAACACCTGTAGAAACACAGAGAATATTTTTGTCAACGTCCCTATGTTGACACTGTGCAAAACTGCCTGATTGTGAAACCATGACCAATGGGCTTTAGGTAAGCAGGAGGAAGGTGTGGTCCAAGCCCTAGCAACAGTCCCAGCCCTCTGAGACTAAGTTACACGGCTGCAGTAAACATGCCAAGGGTGTCGGAAAAAAGCCCAGCTGCTGCCCCATGCAGTTTGATGGAATGAAAGAAGAGCTTAGCTAAGTCACCGTGGTGTGAGCAGCAAGTTTATTTTAGCTATTACAACAAGCACAGGGCTGGGCTTATTATTCATTTTTAGAATTCTAATAAAATCTTAACTATGTTTCCTTGATACTAAAGTAAATTGTTTACTCTGTATCTAAAAACACATATTATACCCAATGTACCAATTAGCGGTGAGGAATTTCTAGTCCTTAAAATTAATTTTGAAAAGAGATTACATCATGTAGAAATGGATTTGATTTTTAAGAAAGTGCTGAATTTTAGAGCTATTAGTTTTCTCTGAGAACTTATTTAAAATCAAAGATGTTTAGAGTAATCATGTAGTGGACTCATTTATTGCTATTAAAAAAACAAAACAAACAAAAAGGGAAATTTAAAAGCCCTTAAAATTTAAAATTGCAGTTAGAAAGGATCCCTAAGAGGAAGATTATTCTAGACATTTAACATCAAGGACTCATAAAGCCTCACATTAAAGGTTTTATTAAGCATTTTTGATAGACATCGTAAGCAGATGCTAAAATATTTACTTCAAAATACAAGCTGGAGACAGTCTTTTATGAGTCAGTTTTGAGGTAAATTGAATATTGGTATAGGTTTCATAGATTTAAGAGGCCCTGATAAGATTTGGTGATTGAGAAATTGGAATATATCATGAGGAAACGATTTTTTCATTAGAAGCAGATTTTAGGTTATTTCATATGATATCGTGAATATGTCAGTCATCATTATAATAATAGCACTGTCCTGTATTTGTCGAATAGTTTATAATGGAGAGAGTATTTTGAAAATTAACTCGTGTCTTTATAGGTTTGTATATCTTATAGTGTCACATTTTTATCACTCCCCAGAGTTAGAAATATCCTCGAACCATACTTGTTCTTCACAGGTGCAGATACAATGCTCTTTCTGTGAGATTTTCCCCTATGCACTCAAATTCTTTATTGCACCTACATATCAAGGGCTAGAACAGAGCCAACACATAAGCAACACATATGTTGCATTTATATTCCAAATTATAGGAATTGTGTAAACTATTAAATAATCTCTTTCATTTCTCTACTAAGATTACATGTAAAAACAGTTGAATATGGCAAATTTTGCTAAAGGGAAGACAAGAAGAGACGAAAAGCATGCTGTCACTTTCTTCTTTCCATCTAGGAGGATCTAACCATCACTGCAGTCGAAGCCCTGCAAACCCGAATGCTTAGTGTCTTAGTTTCGGTTTCCCCAGAAGCTGAACCAGACATAAGGACATGAGGGCAAGCAGTTTATTTGGGAGGTGCAGGAAACACTAGTTGAGGGTGGTAGGGGAGAGGCCCAGGGAAGTGAAGTCATCCGTTAAAGAGTGCTTTATTAAGCTAGCTATCACTGTGTGTGGCTGGAGCTTAATCCTGCAGGAGACCTCTGGAATATCGTAGAAAACACACACCTCAGAATGACCCCATCTGAGAGGTGAGAAAGCTGAGATATTTACATACCACCTCCTGAGACTCACTGTATGAAGAGTTATTGGATAGGGGTGGGGGAGGAGAGGAACAGTGGCAGTGGTGACTGTGTGTTCTTGTTTGGTATTTCTGGGCTGTCATGTATGCACAGAGTAGCTTCCTTTGGTCCAGGAATGAAACCCCCAGGCACACAGATGCAAATGATGGCAGGTGGACACCAGTCAGACCACAGAGCAAACTCTGCAGAATAAGGGAAGGGTACTGAATAGCATGTGCTGTATTCGAGAAATAAGACATTCTAAGATTTAGAGTTTCTAAAGATTCAACAAAATGTATGCTTTGATTCATGTTGCTAATATTATTTAAAATATTATTTTTTGAAATGTTCTCAAGTCAAGGGAATATAACATATATCCTTCTCTGCAAGTTCAAGGTCAAATGATCCTTTGGTCCTCATTGTGATAATAATTTCTCAAGGAAGAATATCACCCATACAGATGGCCAAAGATGATGGACTAACCTCAGGGAACTGTTTTAACAGTTTGTTCAATTTAGATAGAAAATGTAAAGTCAAACTTGTTTCTTGGGATTTGACACATTCCATTAAAAGTAAACTATAGCAAAAAATGAAAAGAAATGTAATTAATTGAAGGTTGTGTAATATTGATTTTTGTTAGTCAAGGTTTTATTGTGGCTGCCTAAAAGAAAGCAAGGCCATTATTCAAGCAATAATTTATTTAACCAACAAGTGTTATATACTATTTACCTTTTACTTGACAACTATAAAATAAAAAACAGGAAGATGGCCCAGGCCAAAGGTGAAGGTCTTTGGAGTAGTAGAGAGCTGATCCTGAAAATCAACCCTGCCAATTTCCAGCTAGGAGGCCTTAAGCAGGTTACCTTAGTTCTGCAAGTCTCAATTTCCTCATCTAGAAAATACAAGTAGGGGAATTAAAGAATTTAATGAGATTATGCATGAAAAGCACTTAAGAGCCTGGCATGTATTAAGCACTAATTACATGTCATTTTTATAATGGTGGTGATAGGAATGCTAAGATGGCAGCCATCAAAGTAATTGCAATCTACTAAAGGGGGCAGATAGAAACACCTACGTAATGCAGAGCACACCTTGACTAACTCTCTGTGACCACAGAGGATGAACACAATTAAAGTATTCTTGGCTGGGTACAGTGGATCATGCCTTTAATCCCAACACTTTGGGAGGCTGAGGCAGGTGGATCACCTGAGGTCAGGAGTTCGAGACCAGCCTGGCCAACATGAGGTGAAACCCTGTCTCTATTTACAAAAATTAGCTGGACATGATGGCATGTGCCTGTAATCCCAGCTACTAGTGGGGCTGAGGCAGGAAGATTGCTTGAACCTGGGAAGCAGAGGTTGCAGTGAGCTGAGATGGTGCCACTGTACTCCAGCCTGGGTGACAGAGTAGGACACCATCTAAAAAAAAAAAAGTATTATTGGAGGAGATGAAATGGGTAGGTGGTTCTAGGAAGAGAGAAAGGTTTCTGGTAGGTAGTGATAGTGTTCAATATGGGAGGGGTAGATAAATCAAAGCATAGAGTTTTAAATATGCCTGACAGATCTAGAAGAGTTGACTACTAAGTGCCTGAGACAGAGCACATGTAGCTGATCTCTTAGTATTGAATATTCCCATGTCTCTGCCCTTGGATGCTTCCCTTCCTATCTACTCTTATACTTTAAGGTGAACTCATCTACTTTCCATGGCTTTAATACTATCACTTCAACATTGTACATAAAATTTAGTTTGAAGAACCCAAATTAAGGTTTCCAGGTAAGTTCTCTTCCATTGACTTCAGTCTGCATTTATATGTATCCACTTGGATATCTAATGAATATCTCTGGCAGTTGACATGTACATAACTCAATTCTTTGTATTTTCTTCTAAAATTTACCTATTTCCCCACAGCCTTTACCACCTCAATTACTGGCAACTCCATCTTTCCAACTGCTCAGGCCCCAGATTGGGTGTTCTCCTTCACTACTCTCTATCTCTCAGATCTCACATTCATTTCCTCATCAGATCTGTTATTTTGGATTTCAAAATGTGTCTAGCATAATGACCTCTTCTCATCTTCTTTACTTTTTTCATACTGGTGTACTTCCTTGCTGAAATAGCTTTCAAATGTTTCTCTTGACTTCTTCTTGAGAATCTGAAAGTTCTCTTCTGGTATTAGTTCATTCTCAGGCTGCTAATAAAGACATACCTGAGACTGGATAATTTACAAAATGAAGAGGTTTAATTGACTCACAGGTCAGCATGGCTGGAGAGGCCTCAAGAAACTTACAATCATGGTGGAAGGAGAAGTAAACAAGTCTTTCTTCACATTGTGTCAGGAAGGAGAAGAATGAGCCAAAGCGGGGAAAGTCCATAATAAAACCATCAGAGCTCATGAGAGCTCACTCACTCTCATGAGAACTCACTCACTCTCATGAGAACAGAATAATGGTAACCACCCCCATGATTAAATTACTTCCCATCAGTAATTTAATGATACATAGGGATTATGAGAACTACAATTCCAGATGAGATTTCGGTGGGGACACAGCCAAACCACATCACTTCTTAAGCAGTAGCCAGCTTAATTTTATTTGAGTAAGTTGTAGCATACTACTCCTCTTCAAAACACTGCAGGCCCACCCTGCCTTGCCATTTCATCCAGAGTAAAAGCCAAGTTTCCATAATGTCTAGAAAGGCACCTGCAATCTCACTTATTGCCTAGGACATCACTTCTTTACTTATTTCCTTCTTGACTATGTCATTTCGCTCATACTGAGTTCTTTGTCATTCAACAGATGTGGCTTTACACTCCCAACCTATTGTCTTTGTTCTGTATTTTCATGGCAAGTGTCCTTATCTTCTTAAGCCCTTGTTCAAAATTCATCTTATTCTATCCCATCTTGGTCACAAGGACTCTACTATATCTTTTTCCGTATCTCTTACTTCCCAGTAATACAATATACTATTTAGTAATTCTATTTAATGTTTATCTCTTCCCACCCACTAGGGTACACCATGTGGGCTGACATGATTAGGGCTGGTGTCATTGTATGTTTTGCTCAGATGTTTACTGAAGGAGTGATCAGCACATTTAGATGCTCAGTACAGGAAGAACAAGAAAATTAATGTTCCTTCCTCTTTCTTTTGAAATTTGCTCTTACTCCATTGGCAGAAACAGTCCTCTTTATCCACAGTGCTCAGCATTCCTTATTATTGAAAGGGGTTTGTATATAATTTCCATAATCTTTGAAGATTCTCTCCACTGAGAAATGGAGTATATTATGAAATAAAGAACTGTTATTTAACCTATACTTTGAAAGATAACTTTTCTTTCTGGAAAATATTAAATTTAGATCCGTATTTTTTTTAAAAAAAACTCTAATAACATTGAGTAATTCCAGTATGTCAAATATTATGTATATTATTTCATTCAAATTCACAGTAATACTGAGTGAACATAATATCTGCTTTAATGTTTTAAAAATTAGAGATCAGAGAAGTTTAGTATTTTGCCAAAATTCACATAGGAAATGAACAGTTCTGGAGTTGGAGCCTAGGTTTTGTTCTGACTCCATATTGCCTATTGATGGGCCACCTTTGTATGTTAAATTATTAATAGTTTTATTATGTGGATGTGAGAAAAATTGAAAATGCACAAAGTCTCTCAATCTAACGAGTGAAGAATAAATACAATTTAAAGAAAATATACCTTTATCTAAGACACTTTATAGTATTCCTAACTTACCTTGCTTCTAGGGCACCCCACACAGAACATCTTCATAGCTCTAGAGAAGCCTTTGTTACAGATAAATAAGATGATGAGAACTGAACATTCATACACAAAAAATTAATGAATTATACTTACTAATTTATCCCAGAGATGTATGATAGAGTGTAATACACCAAAATTTTCAAGGTGTTGTTCAAAGTAACATCTCATGATGTTTGCTGACTGAAAGGAATCTTTGGAATATTGCTGGTTTATATGCTTATTTGAAATGCATTCAAAACTTTGATTTGTACTTCCCAAGAACATTGTATTCTTATGCCTCTTTTTAAGCCAAATACTGGTTCTTTTGTGTAATGCTTTTCCCATTCTCTTGTAGCTAACACTGATGTTCTTAAAAATTTCTTTCACTCTTTTCTTCATGCATGTCAGCTAGATGAGGAGGAAGAAGCATCTGCTTACACCTCTATCAACTAATTTTATGTTATATACTTGAAGTCCAGATTACCAATTTATGTCATTTTCTTTCTTCTTTCCCAGAGAAGCCTTTTTTCCTTACTCAATGCAGTTAAGTCATTATTCAGGAAGGAGGCATTTCAAGTTCACTTAAGAAAAATATATTTTATGCTTCCTCACTTCTTTTTTCCCCAGTCTTCTATCAGCCTAGCAAGCATAGCAAAAAGATATAGCCCCATAACCACTTTATGCACAAAGTTAGAAGCATAAAATCTCATGGAAAGAGATCCTTTATACAGAAGAGGTTGTCTTTCCATTTCTCTTATGTTAGGGATAAGAAAGTGAGATCCAAAGAGTTTAAAGGGCTTTCCTAAAGGCATGCCACTAGAAAGTGACTGAGCCAGGATGAGCAACTCTCAGTTCTCGTGCATTCTTTTTTTCTTTTTTTTTTATTGCATTTTAGGTTTAGGGGTACATGTGCAGAACATGCAAGATAGTTGCATAGGTACACATTTTATCTTATGAGTTAGATTATTTTATTCTTAGAAATTAGGAAACTGATACTACTTGACTTCTTACTACCACTATGCCCACAGAAGTGTAGGGGCATCAATTATTATTAAGGGCTTATTCATATTTCCCCACAGGGGCATGTTAGCACATTGCAGTTTGAGAAGCAAAAATACTTGCCTCTGAAACTTCAGACCTATTTGAGAACGTTATGAAAAGAAAAATCCACTTCTCAATTTTCAAGAGTCAATGTAACACTCTCTGTGGACTTTCTTCT